TAAAGTGTCTGTGAAAAAGTTGTTTCTTTAGAGAGAGAAAGCTCAGAGCTTTAACGAAAATGGAGGCGAAGCAGATGAGGTTTCTTACTCACCAAGCTTTCTTCTCTTCCGTTCGATCAGGAGACATCAATCAGCTTGAAAAATTAGTCGAGAAGTTAACCGGAGACGAGCTAATCGATGAGTCATCGCCGTCGTCTGCGGTGGCTGAGCTCATGTCTATTCAAAACGACGCCGGAGAAACCGCTTTGTATATCGCCGCCGCAGAGAATCTAGAAGAGATTTTCAGTTACTTGATTAGGTTTTGTAGTTTGGAAACAGTGAAGATCAGATCCAAATCCGACATGAACGCTTTTCACGTCGCCTCCAAACGAGGTCACTTGGGTATGTCTGTCTCTCTGAGTTCATAGTCTCTGTCGGAAGTTTTGGATTTTGCTGACTTCAAAGCTTCACACTTTGGGCATTCTGATTACTGTTTCTATGATTACGATTAAGTCCTGAATCTCTTGTGTATAATCCAGTTTCATTAATGGATTTGATGGCTTAAATCTTGAAACTTTGGCTCTGATTGCGAATTCGATGAAATGTTCTGTGTTTAATATATAGGAATTGTGAAGGAGCTACTTTGTCTATGGCCTGAGCTATGTAGAATCTGTGATGCTTCCAACACGAGTCCGCTTTACGCAGCTGCGGTTAAAGATCATTTAGAGATAGTTAACGCGATGCTCGATGTTGATCCGAGCTGTGCAATGATCGTTAGAAAGAACGGGAAAACGTCGCTGCACACAGCGGGAAGGTACGGGCTTCTTCGGATAGTGAGAGCTCTGATAGAGAAAGATGCAGCGATTGTCGGTATCAAAGATAAGAAAGGTCAGACTGCTCTTCACATGGCTGTTAAAGGGCAAAGCGTGGAAGTAGTTGAAGAGATTTTGCAGGCTGATTACGCAATATTGAATGAGAGAGATCGAAAAGGGAATACTGCTTTGCATATCGCTACTCGAAAGGCGCGGCCACAGGTATTGTTATACCGCTCTTTGTTGTTGAATCACTCTTATTTTCGCGTCGAAAATGATACTTTCTTGAAATGTTGTTCTTGATTGTATCCTTATTTTTGTTTCGGTTTGTTTGATGTTTTAGATAACGAGCTTGTTGCTGTCTTTTACGGCGATTGAAGTGAATGCGGTTAACAACCAGAAAGAAACCGCAATGGATTTGGCGGATAAGCTGCAATATAGCGAATCCGCTTTGGAGATCAATGAGGCTTTAGTAGAAGCCGGGGCTAAACACGGGAGGTACATTGGTCGGGAAGACGAGGCGAGGGCGTTGAAAAGAGCAGTAAGCGATATCAAACACGAGGTGCAATCGCAGCTTCGACAGAATGAGAAAACCAACCGCCGTGTCTCAGGGATCGCCAAAGAACTTAGAAAACTCCACAGAGAAGCGGTTCAAAACACAACTAATTCGATAACAGTCGTGGCCGTTCTGTTTGCGTCCATTGCGTTCTTGGCGATATTCAACTTGCCTGGTCAGTATTTCACAGACGGGTCACGCGCAGGGAAAGCAGAGATCGCGGGAAGAACGGGATTCCGCGTGTTCTGTCTTTTAAACGCGACATCGCTGTTTATATCGCTAGCGGTTGTGGTGGTTCAGATAACGCTGGTTGCGTGGGACACAAGGGCGCAGAAGAAAGTTGTATCAGTGGTGAATAAGCTAATGTGGGCAGCTTGTGCTTGTACGTTTGGAGCGTTTTTGGCGATTGCGTTCACAGTTGTTGGAAAAGGGAATTCGTGGATGGCGATTACCGTAACGCTGCTTGGAGCGCCGATATTGGTCGGGACATTAGCGAGTATGTGTTATTTCGTGTTTCGGCAGCGTTTTAGAAGCGGCGATTCGCAGAGACGGATTAGGAGAGGGAGTGGGAGTAAATCGTTTTCGTGGTCTTACTCTGCTCATGTTTCGGACTTTGAAGATGAATCAGATTTCGAAAAGATTATCGCTCTTTGAAGCCATTAATTCTCTCTTTCTCAAGAGTCCTTTGGTTCGTCTTGTATAGTGGAGAGAGATCGTCTCTTCTTGTCCATTTTCCCACGGAAGTTCGTGTTCTTAGGGAAAAAAAAAAGGAGAAATATAAATATTTTTGGTCTTATCAGTATTACATGTATCATACAACAAAAATAGCAATAAAGTCGATAAGTGTAATGAAAAATATCTTAAAGGCTTAAAGCTTGTTTATTTTGTTTGTAATATTTAGCTATTCATTGGAGAACTAGTGAATTATCCAAGTGCTTAAAAATGTATCGACTAATTTAGATTCATAGCTATATTATAATATGAACGTAATATAGTTTTCACAATTTAAACACCAAAATCATAGGAGAGATCATAGGAATGAGCAAGAAAATTGGAGAAGCAGAATCAAAAAGAGAATATTAATCATTCAACATAAAATATCCAATAAGTCAAATCTCTACAAACCATTCTTCTGCTCTCATGTGGTTTTCCAGTTATAAAAAAAAAACAACACAAAACCACATGATCATGACTTTTTCTTCTTTTTCTTACAACCACAAAGGTAATATTTAAAACTCCCTTCAGAG